AGACATGCACCTGGACCGCCACCACCCACGGGCCTGCCACGTGGGCTCCCTAGCACGTGCAAAGCCGGAGAGGAGGGTGCTGGGACGAGGCGCGGGGGGCTCCACGGTGGGTGCCAGCAGTGGGATCCTTCCCGGTCCTTCTCCGAGGAGGGTCCTTTATGGTTTTGAGACCAGCCGGCAGTGAGAATGGGCCAGGCCTCTCGGAGCCCCGGGGATCCAGTGGGACTTGAGGAAAGGACCCGGCCCTCCCCTGAGCAGCCCCAGCTCCCTCCACTGGGAGGGAGCTGGCCGAAGGGCCAGTAGACGGAAGGGCCGTGGGGCAGGGAGGTGGGGAGAGACGCTCCATCCCACTCCAGGCCGACAGGGTTCTGAGCCTGCGGCCACTCCTGTTTGCAGCGCCCCGCTATGGGCCAAGAATCTGCTTGTTCCTTGGCGCTGGCCACCCGGTTGGATTCTCCGGTTGGGGCCCCTGCTGACCGGTGAACGGGATTTGTTGAGGCCCTACTATGCGCAAGAGTGGGTGGGGTCCCAGAACAAGGACACAGTAGACATTCAGGGGAAGCCCTGTGGAGGACGCCAGGCAGGGTGGGGGGCTAGGGAGGGGCCAGGGGAGGAGGCTGGGGAGGCTGGGGGTCGGGGGACGGGCAGAGAGCAGGCAAGGCAGGGGAGGAGCCCACGGGGGAACCCTCAGGCCTGGGTCTGGAGGGTGGAGCCCGGGCCCTCCTCAGGGGCCTCTGGGCAGGGTCTCTGCAGGCTTAGGAGGCCTGGGCCAGCCACTCCCCTTCTCGGGCCTCAGTTTCTGCCTGTGGAGATGGGCAGGGCTGGGGTCGGAGCTCTCGCAGCCCCTGGCAGTCTGTGCAGAGAGAGGTGCTGAGGCCAGGTGCTGCGGGACCCAAGCGGAGGGCTGCGTAGCCCGGAGGTGGGCTCTGCAGGGGGCGGGAGTAGCCCTTTGAGCAGGGTGTCCCAGCCCTGAGCTCAGAGTGGGGAGAAGAGAACGCCCCGGGAGGGCCTGGCGGAGCGGGGGAGGAGAACACTCTAGACCAGGGGAAGGGATGGTCTGGAAAGAAGGCCCCTGAGGAGGTGGGTGTGACGAGGTGCAGCTGGTGGAGGGGAGGGACGAGCCTGCGGCTGGAGCAGAGCTGCAGGAAGCCCCCGTGTGTCCGCGGTCACCCCGTCAGCGTCAGCGTGGGTGTAGTGCGTGCGAAGGTGCAGGGCCTTCCTGCCGGCGTGCCGGGGTGGCGTGCGGGCACCGACCGCAGCCATGGGGCTCAGCCCTGGGAAAGGCTCAGCGCCATCCAGAGAGGCCAGAGACGGTGGGAGAGAGGGTGCCTCCGCGCCGCCTGGTGGTCTGGACTCGCTGGCTCGGGCCGTCTCCAGAGCGAGTGATGTCTTAGCAAGCACACCGCTCCTCTGGAGGTGTTGACACAGGCGGCCTCTGGCACCCCACTTCCTCTCCCAGAAGCTCCCCCAGGCAGCCCTGGGGTGGGGCTGGTGCAGGTGGTGGGGAGCCATGTCACCCCGACTCTGCTGTCATCAGCCTGCCCACCGCCTGCCGGCGTGAAGGAGGCGTACAGTCAGGGGGACCGGCTCACCTCAGCCCTGCTTCCCCACCACCCCCATCAGGTAGCACCTGCGTAGGCTTTGGCAGCTCAGTGCCAGCAGGCCAGCACCCCTGGGGCCAGGGGTCTCAGAGCGGAACGAGGGCTGGGATGGGGTCTCAGCAGGTGAGGGCTGGAATGGGGTCTCAGCAGGTGGGGGCTGGCATAGGGTTTTGAACCTCAGCAGAGTGTCCTGATGGAGGAGATCTGCGGGAGGTGATGGTCTAGAAAGGGGGCAGAGCGTGGACAGCAGTGCAGAGGAACTTAGGGTGTCTCCCAGGGCCTGGGCTCCCACCTCATTAAGTCTCTGAAATGTATCCGTGGGTTGAGACAAGCATCTGAAGCTGGAGGAGGAGGCATCTGAGTGGGGTTTTCCTAGCACAGTGAGCGCTGCTTTGTGAAACTTGTCCTGGATCCTGGGCTATTTCTAAAGTGGGGTCACAGCTCCAGAGGTTGCTATGGTGCCCAGGCAACGGGGGTCTGTGCCCACTTTCTGCCCCAGATCCCATTCAGGGAGTCTGCGGGGTTCCTTGGGGGGCCAGCAGGGAGGGCTGGCGGGAGGCTGCGCTGTGCTCGGACCTCCCAAACATGACCAGACTTATCTCCAGGTGACAGCAAAGGTATTTCAGCGCATAATCAGAGGGTGGCTTCCTACGTCTTGCAGGGGAAGCCGACTGATCTCACTGTCACCCCTGGAGCAGGAAGCGACACCTCTGACGTCCTCCTACCCCTCGGGCCAGCCTCCCCCAGCAGGAACTGGCAGAGGGCCCCTGACAGCCGAGGACCCTGAGCACCGGCCGTGCTGCAAGGGGCCGTAGCTGCCACAGGGCAATGGTGCACAGTGTCTGTTGGAGGTGACAGGTCTGTACATCCAAGCAGGAGGCCAGCTGGGGCCCCTGTTCTCCACAGAGGGCCCCACGCCCTCGCCTGGCACAGGCAGGGACCTCAACTGGTTGCCATGCCTTCTGGGGACCCCATGCTATTTGAGCTGGACCTTGAGACTTGACTCCCCAAACTTTTTTCACCCTAAAGGACAGAGATGAGGCGCCACGAGCAAGGCATTTCCTCAGGGTCTCGTGTGCACCTTGAGACGCTTGCAAAGTTGGTGTCCTTCTCCCTGACAGTTAGTTTGTTTTATTATAAAAGGGAAACTTGAAAGACTGCAGTTAGATTTTTTAACTTTCCTGCACAAAATATTGGGCCACGCTGAGGCTACACTGAAAGTTATGCGCCCCGGGGTGTGTGGACCGGGGCCCAGACCCTAGGCAGCCGTCTGCGTGGAGGGCATCAAGGGAGGGGACAGGCCTGCCTCCTCTTCTCCCGCCCAGGCAGTGCCCTGGGCTGCGGGTGATCCAGAAGAGACAGCAGCCACCCACGGGTGCGGCACCACTGGCCCGAGTAGCGAGGGGCAGGCCCTGGACCCAGCTCGGGTGGGGAGGGGCACGGAGGACCCCCTGTGGCAGCTGGGCCTGCAGAATCAGGGGACATTCCCAGTAGGCTCCGAGGGCTCTGGGCTGGGGGTGCCACACGCAGCTGGCCTGGCTGCGGCCAGCAGGGCAGGCGGACGGGAAGGGAGGATCCCAGCAGTTGTTCCAGTGGGTTCCGGGGTCTGAGGAGACTGCCTGCCTGGGTCTGGGCGTCACAGAACCTGTGCAGAGTGTCGCTCAGAACAGGGCGAGAACAAGCAGAACCCTGCGAAAACGAGGAGAGAGGCTCCTCAGGGGCTGTAGAGATTTCATACACCGTGAAAGGGCCCACGACAATGTAACTTCTGGCAAATGTGCCATTGATAATTCAGCAGGGGTGGAATGGGGGTAACTGGTGGAAGACTTCTGCTCTGGCTACAGTCTGATCTCCTGCCTCCCTAGTGGCCTGTGGCCTGGAGGCTCCCAGGGGGCCGTGGCTGAGGAAGTGGGCGCCCGCATGCCGGACACCAGTGAACCTGGCACTGCAGCCGCGGGCTCCAGGACTCTTCCCTTCCTGTGTGGGGAGGGGGCCGGCGGAGCAGAACACACCAACCTGGCTGCGGGCCCTCCCCTGAGTGGACTGAACCCCCTTCCCTACCTCACCTAAAGGTCAGCGAGCCCCCAACAGGGCCTGTGCCCGTGGGGGAAGGAAGGCCACTCCCGCCCCACCCCTCCAGGCCCTTCCAGCCAGAGAAACAAAGGTGGGGGGATGGGAGGGGGTCTGGTGGGCGTGCGCCACTCGCGGGGTGAAGCCAGAGCCTGACCTTTGCACCATCTGCCCCGCCCCGAATGTCAGAGCGCTGACCCCGCCCACCTCCACCCTGGTGAGCTGATCCCAGCAGCCCCGGGCTGTGTCACGGAGCATGTCCAGGGGAGCGAGAGGCACGGAGGGTGAGGCCACGTGCGTGCTTCTGATGACAGGGTGTACGACGCCCAGGGCCACCCTAAGGCCGGCTCTGAGCCACGGCTCTGCACCCGGAGGTGCAGGGCTGCCCTCATGGCCCTGGCTGTAGGGAGCTCAAGGGGACTCCTGACCCCAGGGTGGCCTCAGGCCAATCTAAGTGGGACCTCAGGGCAGAGAGCTGGGGAGGGTCTCGGAGGGAGGGGGGGAGGGAGGCTGGCGCCTGGGGTGGCCCCAGCCACTGTGCCCTCAGGAAGAGGATAAAGCACTGGTAGGAGGGAGGGAGGAGGGAGGAGGGGGAGGGAGGGAGGAGGGAGGAGCGGGGAGGGAGGGAGGAGGGAGGAGCGGGGAGGGAGGAGGGAGACGGAGTTCTGGAGTTTTCTGGAGAGCTGGCTGACTGAGCCACAGACCCTGCTGTCCTGAACCTCAGCAGCGAGGAAAGGCCAGGCGGGGCAGGTGCCGGCCCACCGAGGTGCAGGTATGGATCAGACACGGGCACCACCTGCAGCTGGGTTTGCCGAGCGGGTGGAGGGGGCAGTAGGTGGCCCTGGGCTTTGTCCTCAGCCTGTCTTGGAGTCACCTCTGAGCGTCCCCCCACCCTGTGAGAATGGTACTGGGTCTGGGGCGAGGCTGGCCCCCGGCCCCCCCATCCCAAGAGCTGGCAGAGTTGGGGTGGCTGGGACTGGAGGTGGACGGTGGGCTCCCGATTTCCTCTCTGCCCAGCGGCAGGCAGGTCCCTGCAGACGGGGCTCGGGAGAGGGGAGGGGAGCTGGGTCCAGCCCTGGGTCTGCTCACCGTGCCCCTTGGGCCCGCGGGCCTCTGAAGGCCTTGGTTTCCCCGCCCATCCAGCTGGTGGGGGGAGGCCTGGAGGGTGCCTCAGAGCTCCTTTTGATTTCTTCTTTGGGAAGGTGAACTGGGGGCTCCTGACTGCGGGGTGGGCGCTCACCGCCTGCATCCCTGGCCGGAGGTGGGCGGGCCCGGGCTCCCCTCCCGGCCTGCGGCCTGCGTGCCTCACACCCTGCTCCCCTCCTGCAGCCCCAGGACCATGAACAACAGTACCTGCGGCTCCAGGGAGCTCCCCGGGCCCCAGGCAGTCAAGTACATCTTATTCATCTACACGGGCGGGCTCCTGGTGCTGGGTCTGCTGCTCAACGGCCTGGCACTGTGGGTGCTGTGCTGCCGCCTGCTGCGCTGGACGGAGACCCGCGTCTACATGGCCAACCTGGCCGTGGCTGACCTCTGCCTGCTCTGCGCCCTGCCCTTCTTTCTGCACTTCCTGAAGAGCAGCACAGACTCGCCACTCTGACAGCTGTCCCAGGGCATCTACCTGGCCAACAGGTACATGAGCATCAGCCTGGTCATGGCCATCGCCGTGGACCGCTACGTGGCCGTGCGGCACCCACTGCGAGCCCGCGGGCTCCGCTCCCCACGCCAGGCCGTGGCCGTGTGCGCCGTGCTCTGGGTGCTGGTACTGGGCTCCCTGGCGCTTCGCTGGTTCCTGGATATGCAGGACGGCGGCTTCTGCTTCTCCAGCCGCTCCAGGCAGAAATCCTACACCGTGGTCTTCTTGCTGCTGGGCTTCTACCTGCCGCTGGCTGTGCTGGTCTTCTGCTCTCTGCAGGTGGTGACCGCCCTGGCCCAGAGGCCAGCCGCCGACGCAGTCCAGGCGGAAGCCACCCGGAAGGCCTCCCGCATGGTCCTGGCAAACCTGGCCGTGTTCGTGGTCTGCTTCCTGCCCTTCCACGTGGTGCTGACTCTGCGCACAGCCATGGGCCTGCGCACCTGTGCCATCCGTCTTGCCCTCGAGATCACTAGCAGACTCTCGGACGCCAACTGCTGTCTGGACGCCATCTGCTACTACTTCATGGCCAAGGAGTTCCAGGAAGCATCTGCGCTGACCGCCCTCCGCACCAGAGCCAAGGCCCACAAAAGCCAGGACTCTCTGTGTGTGACCTTGGCCTAGGAGGTGGCCACGGGCTCCTGGGCGGTGCTGCCGAGGCGGGGACTCGTGAGCAGCGACGAGGAGCTCCGGGGTCGGGCTGGGGGCGCTCTCACGAGGCCCAGGTGGGCAGAACAGCCTAGGCACGGAGCGTGGGGAGGAGACACCCCTAGCCCTGGGGCCGAAGAGGGGCAGGGAAGACAGCAGGAGGATGAGGCCTGAGCGAGGCCAACGCCAGGGGCCCTGGGTGGGGCTGCACCCGGAGCCTGGTACCTCTGGGGTGCCGGGGGGTGGGGCCTCCTGGGTGCTGCGAAGCTCTGATGGCTAGCTTTCTGCTGCTGCCCCACAGGGGCTGGAATAAAGCTCTCGACCAAGGCTCTGTGTGTGCCACCCACACTCACATGGCGGGAGGTGGGGGCCTGGGGGCATCTTCCCAGGTAACTTTCTAGAGCTTTCCCCGTGGGGGCTCTCCTCGGGCCCTGCCACCTGCTCTCCACCCCTGCCCACACTCCACATCCGTCTGGCAGTTCCTGGAGGGGCCACGCTGGCCGCCCTGGAGGGCTGGCTCTCATCTGCCTTGCCAGGCCCAGGCCCGGGCCGTGCCGAGTGTAGGCAGCTGGTCCTGAGCTCCCAGGCCAAGTGTAAGGAGGGGCGGAGGGGACGGTTGACGTCTGTGTCTGGCAGGTGACACGAGCGAGCATCTGTAAGGGCCAGAGGTGGGAGGAGCCCCACGTGCCTCAGCCCGGGGCGTGAGGAGGCCCTGGAGACAGAGACAGTCTCTGGAATAGAGAAAAAGTGAGAGATGGGAGAGAATGAGAGACAGACGAGGAGAAGGCAAGAGGCAATGGGGGTGGGAAGTGTGGAGGAAAGGAGCAGGGGGACAGAAAGCAACGGGGGGAGAGTGATAGGGAGAGCAGGAGAGAAGGCCCGGCCAGAGACGAGAGTGAGGAAGACGTTGAGCAGAGCGAGAAGGGGCATCCGAGGAAGGTGAGGAGGGAGCACGAGGGCAGAGCCGGAGACGAGGGACTAACAGACAGACGACAGGTCAGCCTGGTCTCCCCGAGGCGCCAGGCCCTCACGCCCTCCTGCAGACCGGGAGCCCCAACGGCTGGCCTGGGAGCCCTTCTGGTCCCTCAGAGGGTCCCCGAGAGCGGGTGGGGGTCCTGGATTCTTGAAGAAGGGCCAGGGGCCAGCTCTGCCTGCCACAGGAGTCTGGGGACCCCACGCCTAGGGCCGCAGGAGGATGGAACTTACAAGGGGCCACGTGGCCTGGGCAGACAGGGTAACCGGGCGGAGGTGCGGACCGGCAAAGGTGCTGGGCTGAGCAGAAGCCTTGGGTGCAGAGGCCCAGACAGGACCCCCCCCAGAGCCCCCTGCCTGGAAGGATGCCACAGTCCATGCCCAGGCACAAGGCCAGGGGCTGGGGCCCCTTGTCCCACGGGGCAGGGTAGGGGAGGTGGCGGGTCCACAGGCTGGAGGGGGCCTTGGTGGAACCCCCTGAGGTTAGGGGAGCGGCACCCTGACCCAGCTTGTTCGGGAGCCCTGGGGCTGGCACTGGAAGTCGGCGGGAGAGAGGGAGAGAAAGATGGCGGGGCTGGGGGAGGGGGAAGAGAAAGGCGGCAGCATCTCCCTCCCTGGCCCAGGTGAAGCTCAGCCCAGCCGGGGCAGTGCCGGCCCCTGACCCGCTGAAGCTCCCTCCATCTCCCCCCGCCCGCTCCAGGCCGTTGGCCTCGGTGCCTGTGGCCGCCGCCCCCGGGAACGACTCCAATGGCTGCGGTACGGGCAGGAGCGTCCTGTCCAGGTGGTGACCAGTGTCTCCATCTGCCTCCTCATGGCGCTGGGTCTGCCCTCAGCGGCCCGGCACACTGTGTGTTCTGCCACTGTCGGCGTAGGTTGACAGAGACCTGCATCACCTGGTCAACCAGGTGGTGGTGACCGCCCGCTGCTGCTGAGCTGGACGGATCCTGCCCCCAGGGCCGGGAGGCCGCCCGTGCGAGGTCCTGCAGTATCTCCTAGGTCAACACGTACAGGAGCAGGTGCGTCATTTCAGCGCGGGCTGAGGGGAAGCTCCGGGGGACCCTGCTATGCCCAGATCGTCATGGACCTCAGGATGTGTCCACTCCACTGGGGCCAGAGGGCCTGGCTTAAATGACTGGATCAGCACAAACACCTGCACTGAGAAGCCCAGGAGGGCGACCGTCCTGAGGACTCGTGCTAGAGCCCGGAACCCCCAAACCGGGGCCGGGCAGTAGCGGTGGGTTCCCCTGAACCTCAGGTGGCCAGGTGACTGGAAGAAGGATCGGGAGGCCCAGGCCCCGCGTTGGCCTCCCCAGCCACACAGGGAGATTTGTTCATGCAGAATGAGGGCGGACAGGCCGCAGGCAGGGCAGTCCCAGGCCACAGCTGCTTTCCTGCCTGGCCACCAGCCTCAACCTGAGGGAGACAGACTTCTTGGCACTGAAACAAAGCAGCAGAGCCCTGCACCTGCAGGGTAGTCAGCGTGGCCTGCTGGTAAACCCCCGTCTGCCCATGCAGGTGCCCCACCCATGGCCTGGCCCCGGGGTCTTCCGCTGCCAGGAGGTCCAGGCTCACCTGGAGGCCCCGGCCACGCTGCCCGCCAGCAGCAGTTCACCTGCCCCCTCCCGCACTTGCTCTGGTGAGGTGGTGAGTACCTCTGGCCCCTGGGCACACTGCTCTGGGCCCAGGCCCAGGGACGCTTCAGATGGCCCGTCAGCAGGCTCCTCAGAGAGGCCGTTTATGTGGCCAAGGCTGGTGGCGGCATCAGTGCCCTTGGCCGCTGCTCCAGTGCCGAGGACGTCAAGAGCAGCCGTCCTGTCCTTGGATCAAGTGCGGAGCTTCTCGGGGTGCCAAGAGCACGGCCACAGCCCCTGCCCCCGTCTCCTCTTGGGGCTGCCTGCTGGCCAGAGTGGCAGCTGGCCGGCAGAAGGAGGTGTGGCCCTGGCCCGGCATCGCCCCCTCTGGAAACTGCAGGGCATGAAGTCCGCCCCACGGGGTCCAATCCTGACCACCGGTGGGTGGGGAGGGGGTTCCTGAAGGGGGCACCGCCATGTCATCGTGAAGAGGCAGCGCCTTGGAAGACAACCCTGAGCTGCGAGTGACCCCCGGAGGGCCAGACCCGAGTTGACTTATTCATCAGCAAGTGGAGATAAAACCAGCCCCGTGACAGGCACTGGACCCCAAAACGTGCACCCCGGAGCCTCAAGGTCTGCGTTCTGAGGCCTCGCATGGAGGGAGCAGGGAGGAGAGAAGCTGGGAAGTGGGCCAGATAGGATCAGGGGCCTTGCAGGGGGATGCGGGCTCCACGGGTGCTCTGAAGGTGGGGGAGGGTTTGTGTCAGAGGAGCCGAGGCGCTCTTCGTGCGGGCCTCTCCTCGTGCTGCGCTGGGGCGTCCAAGGGAGGGCTGGCCAGGGCCAGGGTGGCAAGGGCAGAGGTTGGCCAGGATGAGGGCTCCGACCGCAACACGGGACTCAGTGGGACACGCTAGAGGGGCGTGGCTAAGGAGGAAGAAAGGGTGCCCCCAGGAGTCCGGTGTCCTGGTTCCAGTGCGGAGGGGTGTGAGGGCCGGAGGAAGCAGGCAGCAGGCAGAGGCAGCGGAGTGACCCTCCGTAACCAGGAGGGTGCTCTCTGGAGAACAGCGGGGCGGGGTTGCCCAAGGGTCACGCTAAGTTCTGTCTCTTCTCAAGGACACCCCGGACCCCACCCCCACCCCTGCAGAACCCCCACCGGTTCTGTAGTCTTTGCGCCTCACACACTGGACTGGAGGCCAGAATCGCTGTCCTTGACGATGCTCAACTTGCTGGTCCCTGCCCTGCGCCCCGCACGGGGCAGGGACAGGCTGGACAGGACAGCTCTGGCGGGCGGGGGCGGAGCTTCGGCGATGGGGGGCGGGGCCCGGCCACCGGAGCCGCCCACGTCCCCGCGGCTCCAGGTTCCGCCCCTCGGCGCCAGGCCCGGCCCATGCCCAGGGCCCCGCCCCTTAGCGCCCCGCCCCGCCCCCTCCCCTCCTTTTCTAGGAGGTTCCGCGCCCCGTAGGGCTGGGGCCCTCTGGTGCAACCCCTCTTCCGTCCTCAAAGACTGTTCAGGCTCCAGGAAAAGAGCTGGGGGCGGCTCCCGGCGCTGGTGGGGAAGGGGAGGAGGGCCGGGGCTTTGCCTTCCCCCTCACCTGCCTCTCACTACGCAGCTGTGTCCAGCTCTGCTTAAGGTTTTAAGTTAATTTACGAAGGGAATGTGAATTCTGCACTGCGACCGAGATCGACAGGGTGAGGATAGCATGCTCAACAGAGACCCAGCGGGGCACACAGGCAGCTCGGGTCATGGGTCTGTCCTGCCTGCCACTGTCCCTCGGCCCTAACTCCTTCCTGTAGGACTGTCCCAGTCTGCCGGGCGGTGGGGGCGCTGCAGCGGAACACCACAGGCTGGGTGGTTTGTAAGCGGAGCCCCGACATCAGTGCCCACTTGGTCCGGGTGCCGGCGTGGCCGGGTTCTGGCGGGGCAGGCTCCTGGTTCCCAGACCACCGTCTTCTGCTGGGTCCTCACATGGTGGAAGGGATGCGGGAGCTCCCCGGCATCTCTTTCATAAGGGCTCTAATCCTGTCCCCGAGGGCTCCACTGTCGTGACCCAGTCAACTCCCGAAGGTCCCACCCAGTACCATCCCACCCGGCGTTAGGATTCCAACATAGGAATTGTGGGGACACACCGACATTGTGACCATAGCAAGGGGCAAGTGATTTGACTTCGGTCATCACCTAGAGCTTGCCTGGTACATAGTCAGTATCACAAGGTGCTGGTGTCTGTTAGGAACTTCCAAGCCCCCCTAGATGAGAACCACTTTGTTAGTGAGAAGTGCTACCCAAGAGAAACAAAACTGAGCCCTGGGCCCCTGCCCTCTACCCTCCCTGCATCCCGGCCAGCACACACGCAAGAAGGCCCATCTCCCCTCGCCTTTCCTACCACCTCCAAAGTTTACACCCCAGCTGCCCTGTCCTTAGCCTGCCACAGCCTCTGGAACCCTCCCACCTTTGCCCTGTTGGCCTCAGCTGGGAGCCCAGTGTGCCAGGGCCGGGAGGCTCTGACCTGCCCTTAGGATAGCCTGAGGTCCCGCAGTGCAGAGCGTGGTCCCGCAGCCTGGCTGCCTGCGTGCAGGTTCGCGTGGCTTCCTTGCCAGCCGCAGTGTTCTCGCCTGTATCCTGGGATCCTTGGATCCAGGGTCACCTCTAACATTTGTAGGGCCAAGGACAGGAGTACAGGTGAGACCCAGGCACGTCCAAGTATTGAACTTACACCCGAACCCTCGGAGTCTGGCCTTAGCTCCCAGCCCAGGTCCCCAGGCCTGGAGACCACAGGGGGCCCAGGG